AGTAAAAAATAAAATGGTACTTAGGTAACTCAAAATATTAAAATTTAAAAATAGTTTAAAGTAATTCTACAAATTATTCGTAGTTTCTCAACTTTTTACGTTGTCTGTGTCGACTACATGATAGAGCGAGAAAGCTCTATCAAGCGTCGCGTTCGCCGTCCGTGAAAGCCTCCTGAAAATATCTATTGATTATCGTATACATGTCGGCTAGTATGTATACTCCGCCAGTACGACCTATATTATGTTGACTGCTGCGCTGTCGAGTGCCAATTTATTAGAAGTACGTTCGAAATTCGAATATGGTGAAGTGGGCTGACTACCCCATTAGTTAGTTCAGTGTAGGTATAGTGTCATCACTCACCAGGAACTCAACTAGTACTCCATACACTGCTTTTTCTTTTATAATAATAGTATTAGATAGTTAGCTCTATGATAAGTGTCGCTTTGTAGTGTAGTGACTGCACAATTATTCGTCATTGCAGCAGTAAAAAAAAATTAATACAAGATTTAATTGACAAACGAATTTACAGTCCACCTAAGTGTTACTTTTAAAAAAAAAACATTTTATTTGTCCGTAGTAAAGAATAAAATAAAAGTACTACGTATGCGTAGTTAGAAATGGGCCACTCCCGTTTTTAACGATTAGCCTAAATCTTCGCGCTTGGCAGGTGGCTTAATAATCGCAGTAGGTAGGTATACCAGACCTCGCACCATAGGTACTATTATTTATTCTGTGCCATTGGCTCTGCTTCCCATCACGGTTTAGATATTTCAAATATCACACTTGTATCGCAATTTGTTAAAAGCCATAAGATTTATCGAGCTTCTTCCATAGCCGCCTCTTACGACACCAGCAGGACGAAATGGGGCGATGGATTCAAAACAAAAGATCCATCTAAAGGAATTTGGGTGATAAATAACAATTAATCTATAATCATCATTATTCCCTTACATATAAGCACAGAATAGATAATAGGACAAGTATAAGGTATACAACAACATCCTCGTGCAGTTAGTGAACGAGCGAAACAAGATTATAGTGGCCTATAGCTACATAGTACTATTATTTATTCTGTGCTATAGCTTTGCTATATTAATAGGTTGTGAAATATTGCCATTATATATTTTTCTGACTTACCTACTATTAGGTAAAAAAATGGTATCTTACAAATATCTCATACAAGTTTAATGAATTAATGTTTAATAGATCATCCGCCTGTAAGAGTTCACTTCTGGACATAGGCCTCTCTCGTTGTAGGGAGGGTTTTTCTTAAAGGTCACCCTTTGCTGGCCGAGCGGATGACGACCGCAGTACCAGACTACCAGACGTCTCGCACTTTTAACGCTGTTCGCCCTTCGCCAGTCTGTGTATTTAATATTTTGTGTAAAGGAGATAGTAATACCGCCATCTATCGGTAAAATACATAAGTTTACCATTCAGAATCAGACGGTAAGTTCAAAACACTTGCACTATAATCCATAATATTTAAAATAAAATTTTGAGTCATAATTATGACGGTTTCACCTTTATTTACTATTAGTATATTTTCAAAAATCATTAATAACATTTGATACAAATAACGGCATATTGGCATATAACGTTATCTAAACTAGTTCCCGACAAAACTCAAACTCAGCAGGCGTAAGCGATTACCGGTACTTTTGAAATCTTCTGCTTTGCTTAATTATTTATATGCAATAAAATAACATTTCCATAAAAACTACTCTAGAGGCTATAACTGTCTGAGATAATCTAATGATTTATTATATATTACGTTAATACTGCACATAGAACAAATGTAGGTTTACGGATTATGTCGCGTTTTTTATGTTTTTTTTTTCTAATTCTTGACTTTTCGTGCGCTTTACTACACCCATGATCACGGGAGGAACTGAGGTGTAAGACTTCCTGAATCATAACGTCATAGTTAACGAAGGCTACATTCAACTTTTGAATATAAATTTTTGGTCCAAACTATGCAGAAAGAGCTTACAGTATCTTGAAGTCTTGGAGTAGTATAGGTTTCAATAGTGAGGATAGGTGGGTGCTACTTGATTCCCATGATTATTAAAATTAAATCCAAACCCAAACATACTACCGCGTCTTTAATCCTTTTTCACAAAAATGTAACTTCGTAATTCCTTAGTGGGACACCTCCCGCCATACTAAGATTGATGCAGAACAGTGTGCATACAATTTGTTATTTTACTTGCTGCAGTGCTCTTCAATGGTACTATTTTTTGTATCTGCTAAGATCACATTACTCTCTTCCGCCAGGGTATCGGGACTGCAAAGTTTTGATTGATCTAATCTCTTAAATTGTAAGGTCTGATTTGTAATTTGTAGCTTGTTTTATAATTTGCGATAGGGTCCTAACAGAAATCTTCATATCAAGCGTTTATATTTTTCATAACTTATAGAATTTCGTTGAATTAGCGTTCACAATCTGACTTGTCCTATCATCATGGAGAGTTATATACTATAGTATATTCACATACATAATGATGATGTCTAGCTATAAAGAGCTTTAAAAATGACTGATGACTCCATACTCACTTTGTAAAAAGTAGTTAATCACTGCTAATCTGTTTTTTTTTACGTTCCAGTCCATAATGTATTAACATTCACGATAAAAAATATTTAAATATTCACGGTTTACAAAGTATGAAGTTAATGCTATGGCATTCTCTACCAGTAAACCCTCAGTGAAATATTGGTAAGTTGATTAAGGCTTTTTTATAATCTATTTTCAGAAAAAAGAAAAAGCAACTTAATATTGTATCGCAATTTATAGCCATACTAGTTATATTATATGCTCGATTGATATCATTAAAGATCTATAAGACTGTTATGTATTTGCTTAAAAATTAGGCCAAATAGTTTCAAAATGATTAAATATGAGGACTTTAATGTGTATATATTAAAGAGAATTGATTGTTTAATTTATTATATGACCATTTCAGTTCAGCCTAGTTTGATGTATATGTTATTCACAAAATTTTATACAATATGCTGCGACACACATCACGAAATTTTTGGGAGATTATCACGAACGACAACTTAACCTTGCAGACAGTTAAAGATGATGGATATCTCAAGCCATACAAGCGGATTGAGAACTTAAGATTTATATTACCATCGAAGCACTTGTAACATCGTTTCCACTAATAGTTCACATGCAGTACAAACCATTATCTAAATTTTAAACGATAATACAGGAGCAACAATCCGTTGGCGGTCAAGTTCCCGTCAAAACTCACAGATTCTATATTCAGGTATTCAGTCTTCAAAAGAGAGTTGATATTTATATTTAAAAAACTTGTTTGTATTTAACATAATTAAGTATGAAATTTAAAGGCAATACTGTAATGTTTGCGCTTAAATTCATCATTCATAACTATAACATAATTCCATGCCAGTTCCATTAAGTGAAAATACCGCGATATCTCAGTTCCATTTCAGTACCGAAATCCGAAACTGAAGCCTTCGATACTATTTATGAACTGGTCTTACAACCCCTTCTCCAAACATTTATATAGAATTAAGAAAATAATAAGAATTATTTGGTATTTATGAATTTCTATTCCCACCTGTATGAGCAATGGAATTTTATCAAATTAAGTACTATATATATATATATAATAAATTACAATGTAATACCACTATAACACTCATATTTTAATGAGGAAAACGTTATTATAACATGGTATTACAGAAATCATTAAAAACAGAACGCGCTTGCGCGAGTTCAACGGGTGTCGGGTGATCGCGGTGCGGAGGGACGCAAGGCCCGGGGGTCGGGGCCGGCGTGCGGGGTGCAGAGCGAGGTTGAACGTCATGTCGAAGTCGAACAACGCAGAACCTATCCTACCAAATTCGGTAGACACTTTGTTTATACTCTTCGTTACATTGTAATGACTATCTTACAAATTCGTATTTGACTTGCCTGCGTCGCCGTCGCTTGAGCTTGAGTCGTTCAAAACGATTACGCGAGGTGGGAACAGACAGCCAACTGCGAAATCGGTGTTTATTAGTGGGTTCTTTCTTTACAAGTGTATACGGTTATTTTTACTTCTAATACTAATTTCAACGGAATGTCAAAAAAAATGTAAAAAGAAAGTTACTTGCGAAGCATCAGAATTCGGAACCTATGATCCAAATGTTATTAACAATAAGAAGACGGAAGATAAATAAATAGGGAGCAAGCTGAATACGTCGGGTTGTGATAAAAAAAGACCTTATCGCTATCATAATAAAGTGATGTTCGCTTAATGAGTGACGTGATCACAGATTGGAAAAATATGGATCTTTGAATAAACGTTTGGTGCAAATGAGCGAACGATGCATAGTGAACTGTGATGTGTGATCATCAGCCAGCATAACAATATTGGTAGAACTAAATCATAATGGATTGGAGAATTCGATGGCGCGCACATATGCGCCGGTGAAGTTTGTCGAGGCCACACACTTTTGAAACAGGTACCGGTTTTGGATTATCATTTTGTTTGATTTATAATGCTGCTCTGTTCACTTCAGGTAAAGCGAGTGCAGGGTATGTTGCACTCTACAGTTCGCATGTATTCTTGTATATTTAAATTAATTAGTGATGTATGGATTTAAATAATTGTTAATTTATTTTACGTCTAAATAATAGATTGAAACAGAATTTTATTGCATAAAACTACAAGTTGTTAAAAAATACATCAAATATAATCTCGCTGTATGCTCATCATCATCATCGTCGTCATTATCATTAGAGCATATCAAAGTCTACTACTGAATATAGGCCTCCACCATAGATTGCCTCATAGAGAGGATATTTGCCATGGTTAATAAATAATTATGCAGGCCCATAATTATTTACTAACATTAGAATTCCTACATTATTTTAATTTTATATTTTGTTACTAAAACTTATCTATTTCAGGTAAATGGATAATATCCCTGGACCAATCTGATCAACACATAGTTATCGAAAAGAAATAAAATTATTGAAACAATGGAGAAAAGCGGAGAACAAGAAAGTTATCCTGTATTAAAGTATGAAAAGAATAGTGACAGTGATGCTAACAGTGAGGACCTTAATTCTAATGATGAACAAAACAATATCAATAGTAACAACTCTCAGTTTTATGAGAGCAGTGATAGCAAAATAGATTATGCTGTAAAAATAGATGACAATGATACTTTAAGTGATATAGATGATATTAAAACAGATACTGCCTCAGCCGACAGTGAAGATTCTGCCCTTGGCAGTTTGCCCCCAGATAGTGCTCCTAATGATGGAGAAGAAGAAGCACAGGATAGATCAGATGGAAGTGACTCAGGTCTTGGAACAGAAAATAATGAAAATGCTGAGTTGCCTAATTTTAACTTAGTACTTCCTTGTACCAGTGGCTTGAATAATTCGAATATTTCTGACTCTGAGTACAGTGGTTCTGAATTTAATAATGATTTCAGTGGCTATAATTGTAATAGTGAAATTGTAAAACCCCACAAAAGCAACCTTAAACGAAAATTTGAAGAAAGTGATAATGATTCTCCACGTAATAAGAAACCAAAGCATAGCATACATTTCGAAAATGTAACAGTTTTTTATTTTCCAAGAGCACAAGGTTTTACATGTGTACCATCACAAGGTGGCTCTACTTTGGGAATGGAATGGGAACATACCCATGTACAAAAATTTACATTAGCAGAACATGCATTAGAGCAAAGAAGGTTACATAAACAAATTTTACAACAGATAAAAAATGAACGTCATAATTTACAAGGAGTGACTCTTTCATCAAGTGAAGAAAGTGATACAGAAGATGAGACAAGTGACATTTCTGAATCTGAGTTAGATCTAGACAGTTATTATTTCTTGCAACCTGTACCTACAAGGCAAAGAAGAGCTCTGTTACGTGCTGCTGGTGTAAGAAAAATTGAAGCTTATGAAAAAGATGAATGTAGAGACATAAGAACGTCGCGTGAGTTTTGTGGCTGCGCTTGCAAAGGATCATGCAACCCAGAGAATTGCTCATGTAGTTTAGCTGGTATAAAATGTCAAGTGGATAGATTGAACTTTCCTTGTGGATGTACCAGAGATGGCTGTCATAACTCCACTGGTAGAATTGAATTTAACCCCATTAGAGTAAGAACTCATTTTATCAATACACTTATGAGATTAGGCCTTGAAAAGAAAAATGAAGAGAATCAAGAAGCTGCCAAAAGACAATGGGTAGAAGTCCACAACGCAAGTACCTCAAGTTGTCTGAATTCCTCCTATGAGAGTGAGCGTTGTCTTAGCCATGAAGATGGACTATTACGTGATGTCAATCTCACACCCAGAGTGGAAGTGGAATCATGTGTCAATTCTGGCAGCTTTAACAATGTACACTGTGACATAAATGCAAAAGATGATGTTACATATGGATATAGAAATACTACTACTGCAAATCATGATTGCCTAAATGAAACTGTTATGGGGCAATTTGAAAATAAACCTAATCTCCATCACACTCCTTACACATCGGGTATAATCCAAGGTAAAGGCCCACCTTTTTCAACACCCAGCACCATGGCATTTAATACAATGTCTAGCAATATGCAAGGTTTTCAATGTGATCTCAATTATATTTATGAACAGCATGCTGAAAATCACCATTTTAAAAGTCTGCCAAGTTTTTCTGCATCTAGTTTTGAAGAATTTGCTCATAACTCCCAAATGTCTATGTACAATCATTATGGACATCTATACATGCCGGATTATATGCATAAACCAAACACAAGCATATCTGAGCATACAACTTCTATACCATACCATGTGATGGCACAGAATCATTATGAAATTTATAATAAAAATCATGTTGAATGCGTAAATGTGGATAGTAAAACTGGATCACATTATACAACATTAATGACATCATATCAGAATGGCAATAAGCTGCAAACGTTAGACAATGATGAGAATTGGTTTAGTCACAAAACTTTAATAAATTTGGACCACTGTGATCACACCACCCAGGACAGTATAGATGTCCAGCCAGCCCTAGTAGAGGCTGCAGGTGAAAATGACACGGCTGAAACAACAGAGAATTTTGGAGAACTTATAAAGAAAACCATGGTAGAGTCTGTTACTGTGTAGATAATTTCTTGTTGTCTTTTAATCATTTCAGTGAATTATCATGTTATTAAGTTTTAATTATATTAATTAGGTATTCCAAACTTTTTTGTTATTCCTTTTTGGTACACTGTAATCTTTACATAATATGATAATGTAAAAACACCCAAATTACAAAGGAACAATTGTTGAGTCACATTAGTGGTTAAAACATAAATATTTGTCGATATATAATCATTAGTTGGTAATCAGCAATGTGGGATATTTTATACGTGGTAGAGCCATGCTGCAGCTATATTAGTGGTATAGTTGTAGCACGAATGGGTTGGCTTGACCGGGGAAGGACCACACTCTCACAGAATACCAGCGTAAATTAGCAGCTTAACGCTGGTGTTTCATATGGTGAGTGTAGGGAACCAGTGACACTTTTTAATGGAAAAGAGGCATTCCATCTTAGTCTTCACAGGTGACAATGCATTGCATTTTGATACTTTATTGAGGATAGATGTAGATGTCTATGGGTCACTGCAACCACTTACCATCAGGTGGACTGTGTGCTCGTTTGTCACCCTATCCTATAAAAAAACACCACTTTTCACATTATGTCTCCTGGAGGGAAAGATGTGGATTTGCGGAAGTCTGCTGGGCTATGTTGAATATGTGTTGAGCAATGAATGATAAGATAGATGAAGTATACAAGATGATGTATAATAGATGAAACAATGCATTTTGTGCTCATGGATTGTATATAAGACTTACTAAGCATGCTAGGGAGACCGTGTCATCTTTTCCGAAAGAATGGGTAAGTGTGTGAATCAGTATGAATGTGTAACCCCAAGGCTGCTATGCAAACGAATGTAAGTGTGCTTAAAGAAGTTTTTTATCCTGGGGATTTATATTCCAGACATGTCAAGCCCATTTATATCCGAGAGCAGTTTTGGGAGCTGGTAAGAATGGTGTTAATAAATTGTAAAGAGAATGAAAAGGAAGATGGATCAAATTATTTAGCCTTAATTGATAAGGATGTATGCATAGATAGATATATGGGAGTGAAATGATAGAGGTGTGTTAGGATTGTGCAAAATGGAAATCCAAGTCAGCCAACCCCTCTGAATGACAGGCGTGAGTGTTTGTGTATTCATGTGTAGTTTAAACGTTCTTTAACTGCATACTTACTTATCTTCACGCACAATCCCTGACGGGGTAGCCAGAGAGAACAGATCGCCAAGTGTCACGATCCTTACATACCTCTTTCGCTTCTTTCAGATTCATTATCTTCTTCATATATGCACGTCTAGGTATCCGAGTACTCTTGACCCTCCCCTCTTCGAGCAATTTGCTCACATGGTCTTCGAAAGTTAGTCTCGGTCTACCTCGACACCTTCTATCGCGCTATATATTTTCTTCACCATTCGGTCTTCACTCATTCGCTCAACGTGCCCAAATTATCGAAACACGCCCTTATCAATTTTTGTGATAAGGTCATCTTTCAAACCTGCCATATTGCGAATCTCTTCGTTTCGCTTTCGGTCGGCCATGGTAACGCCGCACATTTTACGAAGAGATCGCATCTCCACTGCTAAATATACAAATTAAATATAAGTACATATGCAAACACAATATTAAAATTATTAGTTTGTGGACAGTTCTTTAGTGGCATTTCTTTCGGTTACACCTAGATTCCAAAGATTTGGATTTAGGAATTACCAAATTCCTTAAGCAGTTAAAAGTTTGTATTCAGCCCTTCTATCTAAGGTTTGTCATTATATTGTTTCTAGAAACATTAGTCATGAAACGTTTATTATGGGATGTATTATCTCACACAAAAATTAGCTTATGTAAGTTCTCATACAGAGAGGGAAGTCTGATTACTTAGTTGAATAAGAGTCAAAAAAAATGATTGTAAAATATATAGATTTATTAATTTAGATAAAAAACATACAATGTCTTAATTAATAGAGTCAGGCGTTACTTTGCGTAAATCCATTATAATGGGGTTGTTTTAAACTAACGCGGTACTAAGCAAATTAGTTTATAACAATCCTAATGTCTTAATTACTAATGTTATCATTAATACTATGTAACCATCATTGCAGCCCATTAGAAGTCCATTTTTTTATAGGATAGGGTGACAAACGGGCACACAGTCCACCAGATGGTAAGTGGTTACTGTGGCCCACAGACATCTACATCTATCTTCATTCATTGAAAGAAAGGGGTATGAAATTGAACGCAAGTAAGACGAAAGTGATGGTTTTTGAAAGAGAAGAAAGTAAAACTTTATGTGAAATAAGAATAGAAGGGGAGTTGATTGAGCAAGTGGATGAGTTTGTATATTTGGGATGTTTATTTAGCAGGGATGGTAGATGTGACAAGGATATAGAACGACGAGTGAACGCAGGAAATGGAGTGAATGGGGCTCTACACGCTATTATGAGGAGTCAGAATGTGTCAACTAAGGCACGTATGGCAATTCATAATGCTGTGTTAGTCCCTACTTTAATGTATGGTAGTGAAGTAATGGTCTGGCAGAAGAAGCATGAGAGTAGAATAAATGCTGTAGAAATGCGGTCCTTAAGGAGTATGCTAGGGCTGAATCTGAATGACAGGGTGAGAAATAGTGTGATAAGACAAAAGTGTGGTTTGCAAGATGACGTTATGACAAGGATTATGAAAGGAATGCTTCGGTGGTTTGGTCATGTAGAAAGAATGAACGAGGAAAGAGTGACAAAGCAAATTTATGTTGCAGAAGTGAACGGCAGGGTCGGCAAGGGACGCCCTAGACGAAGGTTTATCGACCAAATCGGCGATACATTAAAAATGGGCCAGATACCCTTAACCGACGAGCGTGTATGCGTAGATATATGGATGTAAAAGAGGCGAGAGAGGTGTGTCAGGATCGCGCCAAATGGAAGTCCGTAGTCTCTGCCTACCCCTCTGGGTGACAGGCGTGAGTGTTTATGTATGTATGTATGTAAATGGAGGATTGATATTGTAATTTACTAATGAGAAATGTTGAAAATACAAAAATACAAAATCAATGACTGGAGAACCAGTTATTGCCGTATCCGTACAAATATAAATACTTTGTTTTTTAAATATCTAACTACATGATTGTTGTAGTACATAGTTACTTAATTGAGCATGACATTTTATTCATAATTACTTATATTAAGTTAGAACGCGAAATATGTGCGGGCTGATCATATTTGCCAATACACACCGATTTTGTTAATCGAAGTATATTTTTGTCTTAGGTTTTTGTTCTAACCGTAGTAACTTTAACATACGAACATGGAGAATTCAAGAAGGAGGTATTCAACGTAATATTTTTAATATTAAGAGTGTTTTAAACGAACTAACAACCCACCTCATCATTAGTACCCAACCCACCTAGCTACTGCCAAATATACTCTGTAGATACTGCATTTCTTAGACATTACGCACTTCAAGTAAATAACAATGTCAAACTCATTACTAAGATTTTTTTATAGGATAGGGTGACAAACGAGCACACAGCACCTGATAGTAAGTGGTTGCTGTGGCCCATAGACATCTACACCTATCCTCGTTTGCGAATTAAAACGCAGATGCGTTGTCACCCGTGAGGACTAAGACGGAATGCCTCTTTTTCAGTAAAAAGCGTCTCCGGATCTCTACACTCACCATACGAAACACAGCAGCGTTAAGCTGCCATTTTACGCTAGTATTCTGTGAGAGCGTGGTCCTTCCCCGGTCGAGCCGACCCATTCGTGCTACAACTATACTACTAATATAGCTGCAACATGGCTCAACCACGTATAAGATGAAGTGCCTCACAGCCTGTCATTATACTAGATCTTGGTGCTACATGGTGATAGAAATAGGCAAAAAGCAAACCCTGTGGCGATGTAAGAGGATCTAAGTGTGTCACACCCTTTTGTCCTTTTGGGTATCGTAAAAGGCGACTATGTAATGCCAAAAAAACTTATCTCTTCCTATAAATGGTGTGTAACCATCACGTTTACGTCAGACGTAAAATATCTAGGCCGGCGAGGGGCAACAATGTCAAAGGTGTAAGACGTCTGGCTAAAAACTGACTCCGGTCTGGCACTGCGATCGCCAATTCGCCTGCAAAACGTAACGACTCAAGAAAGCCTATGTCCAGCAGTGGAATAATACAAGATGTTAAAGAAAAAGAAACCTTATGTACCTATTAGTCTTTTGATTACCTATTTACTAAACAACACAACACAAAGCCTTTTGTGTTACTTTTACCTATTTTTAAACAAAAAAAATCTACCCTTGTTTCCTTCTTTCAGTTTTGAATAAAATTAAACTTTAGTTAAAGTAAAAACTGACTTCAAAGAACTAAAAATAAATAATTTCCATAACATCTTCCGACGTCGGTGCTAAGACAAAGGTAGTGTTCGGAGGAAAATTAACTTTTAATGAAAAAATATATTCTTTAACACCTTTCGAGTTGACTAAGGAATAACACAAGCTCAAGATAACAACTAGAGCGCAACCTAAACAGTTACGTTACGTTACAAACCACACACCCCTGTTTTTCACTCTTCGGAGTGGTATTTTTTCTTTAAAATTGAATGGGACCATATTATACCTATTTAAAAAAAAAATTGTCAATACATCAGTCATAATAAGCGATGATGTCGCGTAACATACCTGTAATCGGATTGAAAGACATGCTGGCAAATTTATTTCATTTCTTTGCTGTACCTACGCATTACGAACGACGAAGCAAGCAGTTTGGTTTTAATGCGTGGTACGAGTACGTCGACAACTAAGGGATTGAGACTAGGTGAACGTCTGATTTATTAATGGTTTAAGGGAGAAGAATTAGACATGCAATTCCTGCACACACTCTCCGGAATGTTTTGTGTATGATCATCGAAAGGCTGCCTGTAGCATCAGACACAAAGTAGCCGGTGAAAGTGCATTTTAAATTTTAAATACAGTTTTTAATAAAAAATAGTTTTTGCGGATTTTATCGCGTGTATTAACTTATTTTATATTCCTGACTT